TGTTAATTTTTAAAACGATTCAGTCGCAAATTGTAGCTGTTCATTTTTTTGCAAAAATGCTGAACTACCAAACCAGATAATTAGTTAAGTATTTAGTTATAACTAATACCAAAAAAAGGCTAAAAAACTTATTGGAACTGAATTTTATTGTAGTCCTCTGATATGCTTATTTTAAGCTTTATTCAATCTTTTACAATAAATATTGTAATAATAAAATTTTCGAAAATGTCACAATTTAGATTTTGTTTTCTATCTTGACGTTAAGTGATACTTTTTATACAAATCATTTTTAATTGTAATGAGTACCGTCCGTGGATAACTAGATTTCTAGTTTTCTACGTTGTCGATTTAGTTCGACGTGTTTCTAATAAATAATAATAAATAGCAGGAAATAAGCAACGTCCATCATTGGCTGCGAAATATTACAACATTTGAAATTTCCCCACATTGAAATGGGAAGTTGCGACCCATTTTGTCCTGGCAAAGGCCCCGTTGTCACACTTTACATTCATCATTTCACAAAACTCATTGTATTTTTAGTGGGGCGTGACGCGTATGTACTTACACACACACATACATCCGAGATATTTTTAATTTCCGGTGAAAAATCGTGCGCCGCAGCGCTAGGCTTCGCATACACAATTTGATCGAGCATATCTTTTGCCATTGTTCCGTATTTACCGAAAATTTGGCAAATGCAAATTTCGACAATTGTTTACAATAGAACGTAATTTTCTGACATATTGGTCTAATTCGGTTCTCGAGAAACTAATTTATTTTGTCTATTTTTTGTTGAAACCCTAACTCCAACAAAATCTTTATTACAGCCACATTTTAATTAGTAGAGTTGAAATTTTAACTGTCTGATACAATGATCTTATGCCTGCAAATTCACTGCGATTCATAGGGACGCCAAAAATGTGCGATTATTCCTGTGGGAACAGAAATAATGAATTTTTTTTTTCTAAACGGCCTAATTATGCCAATGAACTTTCTACACAACTTTGACCAAAAATAAACGAATAATAAATCATGAGTTTCTTTTGGCATATAAAATAATTGAATAGCACATCATGTTATCACTACCATGACCTCCAAAACAAATGGCCCTTCTTAGGACCCTTTGCCCAGAAAGATTGGACCCTCACTTCAACTCTAACAGATTAATATACAAGGTATTACCTATGCCAAAAGTCAGTACTAGATTAGATCATATTTTTAGCATTTAATTGCTGTTTAACAGTGAATTTTTTGCGGCAGCCGCCATGCAATTTTTGTTAGCAAAATGTTTTTTAAATTTTGAGACAATAAACTACACTTTTCAGGGTTTGGTAATGTTAATTCTATTACATTTAGGACTAATTTTTTATTGGCTTGTTTTAATTTGCTTGGTTACATTTTCCGATACTTACAATTTTTTAATGAAATTGTCAATTGCTACTTTTCATAATTATATATTTGGGAGGCGAAACTCTACAATTACTAGACTTGCGATGAAAGAATGGGCGTTCTGTCTATATGGGGTGCTTGTTGAACATTTTTTCCACTCAGATGTTTTCCATCTATTACCGCAAAGTTATATTTACACTTTTAGAGTCACATTTCATGAGTTCGACTTTATTTACATTTTGAATGGAGGTTAAACCAATAGGTTTATAAAAACAAACTGCTTGCGCCGATTTACGGTCACAAATTCGGGAAAAATAGCTGGTATCGTGTCTATAGGGCTTAAAGAACCAAAATGCCAAACTACAGAGTTATATTAAGGACGCCGATCCGTATCCTGTAATTTAGCATAATATTTACCAAGCACTTGTCGCAAAGATGGTTTAGATAATTTAAATTTAAAGTGTCCATTTTTTTAAGTCAGAATACAAAGATCGTGATACCCGGTAGTTGGAATATTCTATAATTAGGTTTTTGTATTTCACATGTTAGGCATTTGCTACTATTTCATTAAAACATTATATGGTATGTTTGTTTTTAGAATGTCTGCTTCATAATCAACCGTGAAATAAAAAAACTGCGATGAAGAAAACGTGACAGAAGCTGTAAAATATATATTAATGATGGAGAGCATATTTCACGGTTTAACAAGAACTTATCTTCGCCGAATGGCGTGCATACTAGCAAAGGGAAACAATTTCCAGATACCCTTAGGTGCATTAGGTATAGCTGGAAAAAAGTGGTACATCTTCTGCCAGAGCATTTGGATTTGGGATCATTGCAGATTCAAATGAACATCCTTACAGACTGGTTCAAGCACTTCATTCAAAATACCGTCCCGACTCCTGAATCAAGGGTTTTACTGATACTAGATGGACACTATAGTCATACTCACAATATCGATGTAATAGATATTCCAAGCGAAAATACCGATGATATAGTTTCGTTACCTCCACATACGACTCATAAATTGCAGCCATTAGACAATACTTACATGGGGCCATTAAATACATACTACATTGAAGAAATACGTATATGGATTAGAAACAACAACAGACCTATAAGTTCATATGATATTGTGGAGCTGTTGGGCAAAACTACAAACAGAAAACAGAATGTGTGTTTTCTGTACTAATTTCAACCTAGAAATTTCAATATATTAATTAAGTTTGACTGGAATTAAATTATATGGTAAAATATGGATCCTTATATTAGAGACAAAAAAGAGCCGAAAATAAAATATTTAAGGAACTTAATGAACATACCTTTGAATATGATTGCTTTATTTTTACATAGTCATTTCACATTCCAGACACATCTTCATTTAGCATACTCGGATATGACTTAATATACAATTTTGGCGATTAAATAGGATTGATGGCAGTGTAATCTTCAATAAGGAAAGTTATAATTATGAAACAAAAATTGTTTATGCTGCGGACATAAAGGTTATTGAAATTTTAATTAAAAGTTTATACAGAAAATGGGATGGGAAGGGATAAATCTAAAAAAATAGAAAATTATGCAAAAGCATTTCCTAAAAATGTTTATATTCTTCTGTACAGGTGTTTTCTAGATGATAATTTAAGGCAGAGATTGATAATGTTAGGTACTTTTAAAAAACGTCTAATAAAGTGTATTCTATATGTATATGTATAATGTTAGGTACTTTTAAAAAACGTCTAATAAAGTGTATTGTATATGTCAGCCTCGAAGCAATAAATAACTTAATAAGTACAAAGGCATAAAGAAAAAGAAGAAATCGAAAAAAATAAATCACAAGAAAAAGTTAAAGAATGTCAAAAATAAAAAGTCTAACATTAGCAGACAAGATTGGTTTGCTTGCAATGTCAAATTTTTGCAGCTTTTAAAATCGTTATATTATGTAATTTAGACTTTGTATTTTATATAAATTCCTGTAAACATTTATTGGCATTAGTTATTTCCAGCAATATGTGGCAGGACAAACTTTTTAAATGGGATCCCGTAAAACTGTAGGGTTTTAGGGGGAATCTTCATTTGTTTATTTTGTAGATATATTTTCCATGTAATATATTATTTTGAATTTGTAATTATTCTTTTCTACTGATAAGCATATTATTATTTTTATTGCTATATTATAGTAAGAAATACATGAACACTTAAATATCTCTAAAACTGCCAGAATTGGAATGATAAAATTTCATTCCTGGCGGTTTGCGAATATTGACAATTGAAAAATGCTTAGAACAATGTTGTCAGATTTACCACTTTTACTTTACACGTCATAATTTTGCTATTTTAATTGGAATACGCTATTTATTTTTGTTTATGTTTTGTTTTTAATAATTACTGAGTATACGCAATATCGCTTGTTCTGTAAAAAGTACTGAAACGTTTAAATATCTGCAAAACAGCAGAAGCTGAGACGATAAAATCCAATACCTGCAGGTTTTTAAACATGCAAAATTCCAAAAAAGCTAACGTCAGTGTTGGCGGATTTACCACTGTCAATAAAAATATTCGTATTATCTCAGAATTTACGAGACATAGATGACTTCAGAAGTACATTAGTGAAAGATCACCAGAATTGTAAATATCGTTTGACAAACATTACTGTCCTCATTGTTCCAGCTTTAGCAGCTTCAGAGATATTTTTTACTTACTCGAAATAAATATCTTTGACATTTGCTATATGGGTGATTTCGTCCTAACTGTGACTTTTCTGCTTCAAATGTCTATGATTTTAAAACCATTGTTTTTATTTTTTTTATGTATATTATTCATCTATTTTATTGCAAAAATAAAATCATGAAAAGATTTTACTACAATTGCAAAGCGTCAAGAATGAGAAACCAAATTTTAAATTTTCCCTTCCACGGTACTGACAAAATAAATTTTAGTTCTAAAATCATATAAAATTTTTGCACTATTTCATCAACTCCATGTTTGTAAAATAATGCTTAAATGACGTAATTTCAACATGACTCACTAGACGTTTTATAAATCTCAAGGTAGAAGGCGCGCGAGTCATATAAATTCCAATATCAAAAATAAAACCAAAAAAATTAAACGATATATCCTTGAGTATTTCAAAATATGGATTTAATTAAATCCTAATTGACATCAATAAAATATAAATAGTAACACGTAAATGTAAATAAAATAATCGCAATCGTGCTCCGAAAATTTTACGGCGAAAACCTACGCAGTTTCCAGGGCAAAGAAATCTCCGTAGCAAATACAGGAAAAAATCCGGTGTATAACGTAGATCGGAAAAACAACCCAAACAAAAATTAATATGGGAAATAACACGGACTTGACGGCTCATAATAGAGGTTTCTCCCCCTTGCTTGCGCCGATCCCTCCGGATTATAAGGGTTATCGTGAAACTTTTATCGCAACGATGTCGGCGTTACGTTTTGATTAAAAAGTTTCCGCGATCTTTTATTAAAAAAAAAAGTTCAACGTGAATTTTAAGTGTCCCCGTCCTTTGAAGAGAGTTACGGAGTTCGCATGAAATATGAGCGGGACCGGCCTAGTTTCGCGAGTACTTTTCTCATTAGGAAACTCACCCCCGATCTCTGTAGTCGTCCTTGTTGTATCCGTAGTCCCTGGCGTAACCAGTACCGCTACTGCCGTAGTACGCGTCGGTGCCGTAGTAGTCGGGTCTCGACGAATAGTAGCTGCGGCTGGAGTAGCCCGATCCTCCTCTGTAATTGTCGTCGTAGGGTCTGTAATAATCGTACCTAAAATGAGAAAATTATGTAAGTTCCTATAGTCCACCAAATAAATAGTAAGAACTTGCTTATCAATGGGGGGTGGAGCCTCTGAAAACCCTCTACGCAAACTTAACCTAATACAAATATGGTTTACCAAAATTATTTATGATAAAGATAGATGCTACCGTAGCTAAACAACTTCGTCAGTTCCTATGCGATAACAAAATCCTCCCAGACACTCAATCTGGTTTTCGCACAGCACTACTTTTGCCTTGCTTCATGTTTTGGATGATTTATTGACTTGGACATAGCAAAGCATTCGACACCTTGGATCATTTCCTTCTCCTAGCTAAACTGAAATTCTTAGGGATAAAAGGTTTCATTTTTAAAAAATTTTCTTGGTTATAGGAGTTATAGTTCAGATGTCACTGCTTTGGAGAGGGTTGTTCTCCAGGGGAGTATTCTGGGACCTATTCTATTCTCAGTTTACACAGCTGACTTCTCTATTTTTCTTTAGTTTCGTACATCTCATCAATACGCCGATGATACTTAGTTACATTTTTGTTGCTAGTGAATAAATAAATTTAGATCTAAAAATAATTTCGGAGGTAATGGGTGTTTTTTTTTCGATGTATAGAACTTTAAGTTGGCATTACTGTTCAAAATGGCGACCGATTTAACAGCTGTCAAGTGATTTATTCTCAGTTTGGTTTGGCAATTCATCATGAATAGACTCACGCCTGAACAACGCTTGCAAATAGTGCAATTTTATGTCCAAAATTATGGTTCTGTGCGGAATACGTATCGCGCACTACGTCCATGTTATCGTCGACAAAATCGTCCATCAGAGCAGTTAATTCGATTAACCATGGAACGTTTTCGCACCACGTTTACTCTTATTGATAACACGCATCCCCAGAGACGCCGTACGGTGCGTACAGAAGAAGTTATTGCTGCTGTAGAGCGTAGCATTGAGGAAGACCCGAATGAGTCCATCCGCCATCGGCACAGGAATTGGATCTGTGTCCATCCACTTTATGGAAGATTTTGCGGACGGATCTTGGTTTACGTCAACAAACAAAACTGCCGCATTTGGAGCGAAGCTAATCCTCAAGTGTATGTCGAAACACCGTTACATCCAGAAAATGATTACTAACTCTTTCATTCCTGAATTGAATAACCATGATGTCCAGGAGATATGGTTTCAACAAGACGGCGCAACATGTCATACAGCTCGTGCCACAATCGATTTATTGAAGGACACGTTTGGTGACCGCCTAATTTCACGTTTTGGACCTCTGAATTGGCCTGCAAGATCATGTGATTTAACACCGCTAGACTACTTTCTGTGGGGCTATGTAAAGTCATTGGTCTATGCGGATAAGCCACAAATGCTTGACCATTTGGAAGACAACATTCGCCGTGTTATTGCCGATATACGGTCACAAATATTGGAAAAGGTCATCGAAAATTGGACGTCCAGATTGGACTACATCCGCGCCAGCCGTGGCGGTGATATACCAGAAATCATATTTAAAATGTAATGCCACAAGATTATCTTTCGGATAAATAAAATTCATGTCAATCGAATAATCCATCGTTGTTTTATTGCAACTTACAGTTCTATACATGGAAAAAAAACACCCCTTATATGCGGCTCACAACCTCTTCAATATTAACAAAACGCAACAAAAGGGAAAATATTGTAAAAAACGCCTCTTTTAAGATTACCCTGAATGATGAGATTATCTCTCCTTCACATTACGGTTTGACGGTGACTTGCGGTTTTCTAAGCATGTTGGCTCGGTATTACAAAAATCCTTCTATAAGTTGAGGATATTGCATATTCATAAACATTTTCTCAGTAAAGAAGTCAAACTTAAACTGTGTGATATGTTAGTTTTATCCCGTGTCGCTTATTGCAGTGTGTCAGCAATACTTAATCGAGATAATGGAGAGACATCAACGACTACAGGATGCTTGTATTCATTTTAGTTGCAATCTCAGAAAGTGTGACCATATTTCACAACCATATAAAAAAACCGATATAAAGTTCAACTGGCCACTATTGCTTTTTTACTAATTTGAAATACAAATGAAATACCTTATACTATAACGTCCCTCCCCACAATAAACTCCTTCAAAAAAGCCACAATATTGTTAATTAGGTCGGCAAGTATCTAGCAAAAGCGTAGGAGTTTATGATGTGCATCTATTTATTGCATTTATGGGTGTGTGATATCACTCCCCACAATAAAGTCCTTCAAAAAAGCCATAATATTGTTTATTAGGCCGGCCAGTAGCTAGCAGTATTTTCGATGTATATACACGGGTGTATATTTTGTTGACAGTTATGGTGTTGGTGCTGTTGTTCTTGCGGTTACACGGAAGAGCGCAAATTGCGAATGTCGCCACTCTTGTATTATTACTTATTATTATTTTGATTTTCAATAAATACGGTTTATTAATATTATTGTTATTAATATTATTATGATTATTATTGTTATTGTTATTATTATTATTATTCATTCGAATATCCAAGATTTACTAACAAAACACATAGTTAAAGAAGTGTGGACGTTCTATTCGCCCGCGTTGTATAACATGCTGCCTAAAGATACACAGCAAACAAAATCTTTTCTAAAGATTTTATCTTATTAAGAGGCGGACAAGTTTTAAGATATTGAAAAATAACAATATAGGGCTTTTATTATTGTTTGCCTCATCCTGAACATGAAGTATACTCGGCTACTACTTAACCTCTGCTATAACCAACAAATCCAACTTTGACAATGAGAAGAATTGTATTGTATTACTACGACTAAAACTCAAACATTTTCTCTTTTATCACGCACAAGTACTCTACAAGAGCATCAGTGATTTTTTTTAATGTTAATTACAGAATAATAATTTACACTTTGCATTTTTTCTGGATTTGATAAAATAAACGTTTCTTATTATTTTTAATAAACCGCGCAATTAATCAATAAAAACGGATTTACAAGCTTTTATCAGTACAAGGAGGTAGTTATATTTTAGTAGTGTCGACACAGAAATTTTAAAACATTTGCGCATTGCCATTGGGTTGAACAAAATTTCGACTACGAAATGGAGGAGAGTAACGAACCACAAAGAAAATGTCGTTTAAATATGTGCTGCCAGAGAATCATCTTACGAGTAAATAAAGGTGGAATTGATGTAATATTTATTTAGAAAATAAAAAATTAATTTACATTTTTTAATGCTGCCAGTAGAGTGAGGACATTGTAACTTTCACTTCAAGGTCAACCTTGCGTCTATTCCTTGATAATGATTCACTAGACAAAAAGGAACGATGTGACAAAGCCATAATGAAAGTGTTTAAGAATAGTGATGCACAGTGGACTCGCAGGAAAGTGTATGCGATTCATGAGAGTATTCGGATTCCGCCACTTGAATCATTGCAACCAAAATTAAAAGAAAATGTTCAATTCACTGCTGATTTCTGCAGAAAATCGGACTTAGATTTAAAAATATTGGCAAGCCTAGTTGTATTAAAGAGACAAAACTATTTAACTCACGGTAGAACGCTTTTAACATGTTTTTATAAGCTCTGAAGAAGTCAATAGGATGATTAGGGAAACGTCAGGAAGTTTTCAAATTGGGCGTTTCTTTGAAAAATTAACAAGCATTTATGGAGGGGTCATCAAGCGCAAAAGTTAGAAGATCACCAACTGAAACTGGTAAGATTACCCTGTGGACTGACTTTTTTGTTGTATTCCATGATGTCAAAACTTTCTCTGCTTATAAAATTTTTTGCAAATGTAGTTTTGCTTTACTTCGAGAAAGAATTCATCATACCCTTAAAGAAATAGACCAAATCAATAGAGCTCTTCTGTCTCTATATTTGGAAAATGCTTCCATCTTGTCCCTATTCGAGTTCGATACCCTTCCAATATGATTCACGACAAAGTTCTCGTTTCACTTATCTTCCAGAGAATCAAAAAACTGAAAAACTGACGTCAACTATGTGAGAAGGAAAAATTAGTTCTTGTAAAAAGTTCCAACTTCGCCCTTGCCCCACGTATTATTCCAAAAGAGGAGTCTATCCCAAACAACCTGCAACCTCAAACAGATAATACAATTCGATTTAAAAAAATCCAAACATACTAAATCTAATATTCCAAAACATGAATGCATTGCTCTAATATCTCTAAAATATAATTCCGATATCGTAATTCTTAAAGCAGGTAAAGGAAATAGTGCAGTTTTCATGAATACAATTGACTATCAGGAAAAAATTCAAGATATTCTTCCGGACGTCAACTCAAAAATGATGCTACATCATTGTAACGAGCTCAATCCTCGTCTCTACGGCCTATTTTGAGCCCCATATTCATAAATTCTCTAACTTCTAAATTAAAACCCTTTACAGGGAAAACTGTTAGCATCTTAGTTAATTCCTTTCATTTCATTGAACTAAAAATCATTACACTGATGAGTTTGATTTTACCATTGAATTAGACACTAATATTAATCCAATTTTAGATATTCTTACCAATAGAAAATCAGACCCAACATTGGGTTTCGGGTGTTCACGGAAAACCTACGCATACAGACCTTAATACCTTAATTCCTTATTATATTAATACCTTATACCGTAATACCTTATAATTAAATACCTTATCAACTCTCTTGTTTACAGAGCCGTGAAACCTTCTCAGCCCGAGTCACTGAACTCAAAATTAAAACAACTTATATTTGCTCTTCTCTATAATAATTTCCATATGAGAGTTATTAAGCGTTCCATCACAAAATACGCTTCACCAAAAGATGAATTCGAAAGCAACCCTACACTTGTCATTGTTGTCCTTCCTTACATTCAAAACATCACTGACCGTACATCAAAAGTTCTTAAAAAATATCCTTTATAATCCATACCAACAAAGAATGATCTCAACACCATTATTACTTTTTATTACTGTTAAATCTTTTGAATTGGTCAAGTAAGTCAAAGCGTATTGTTGGAAAATTTTGATTTTTGATAATACCGAGCTGCACCTGTAAAATAGTTCCTTCAGGTATGTTGACCTAAATTAATAATATTATTTGCAACTCAAAAGTTTTTAAGAAATGTTACGTCAAAACCAGATTTATCACTTGCCCAAAAATCTCTCGACATCTTCGGTCCGTCAAAGACAAAATTCTGTATGAGATACCAGAAGTTTACAGCATTCCGTGCATCTGTGGCAAAAAATATATTGGACAGACTGAACGAAAAATATCAACTAGACTCAAAAAACATGAAAGAGCCCTAAGACTATGATATCAGCGGTTGCCGAACTGCAAGTTTTAGTTAAGCTCTGTAAAAGCCAACGGGATTATTGGCGAAACGTCAGCAAGTTTGATTTATAAACAACCGACGCAGGGGAATCCAGAAGATTGATAAAATTTTTGCATATTTTCGGACGCTTATTGAAACAATATTCAAGTATTTTGGCATGTCGCCACCACACTTTAATTTAATGAGCTGTATTTGTCTCATTTACCTTTACACAGTGGAATTGCTTTGCATTGGTTTAGTAAAGTATACAACTAAGATGTAGTTTAAACATCATCAGGAAATTTTGTTTGCATAGCTAAGTTTTTATAAATTTTTATTGAATATAACTTAAAAAAATAGGTTACAACTTAATGAACACAGTTATATTCTAAAATATAAATATAATATAGCTACACCAACATTTTTTGCAGAAAAAAAGAAATGACTAGAAAGTGCCAATAGTTAGAAGAAATGGTTGTAATCAGTCGAAGTACTTGTTGGTAGGAAGATTTTTAAATTTAGCTGGAAGACTAGTAAAGCCTTATTAAGAGAATTATAAAAGTTCTTCTGTAAAGTTTAATCTACCCTGAGGAATTGCTATCAGGTTTTATATCGTGCATTATAAAAATGGATTATTTGTTATGTCTGCTGCAGGGACGGTTAAGATTCTAAAGCTTTCTGAAATCCGATCGACAGTTTTCTTTTATTTTCTTCTTTTTTCTGCTGTACCACTTTGAATCAGTTTGTTGGGTTAATATTACCAAGATTGATAGAGAACGTTGTTGCCATTTTAATATTGGTCATTTTTCCAAAGATAATTCGATTTGAACTATTATACTTACGCTTAAAATATATGAAATAAACCATATTTATAGTTTACAGATTGCCCATATTCTAAATATTTGTAAGTACCGTACTACTTCTAAAAATAAGTTAACTATCAAGAAAGTTTTCATATTTGTTGACAAAATCCAACGGAGTTCTATTTTAAAAAAAATAGTTATACTTAATAATTTCTTCTATTTTATTGCCAAAAATGCAACTTGCTCCTTGGAATGACCTGCTATCAGACTATGGGCTTTGGAGATTCTAGCAATCACTTTAAGATGCTCAGTTATGCAATAGAAAGTCATCGATTAAGAATGAGGAGTAGAAAGTCAGATGTTTAGATCGATGTCCTAAAATGCTGCTTTGAGGACTTTCCCTTGAAATTGGTGGAAGTTTAGACGTCACTCATCCCCTTTCGAATGAAATCAATAGCAGTGTCGTTGAAATCTGCCTGACTTTCAGAAATCCAATTTTATTATCTCATTAATAGCCGTCGATACACAACAAATTAGGCGTTGCTGATATACGGAAAACTGTATTTAGACCAACTATATTTTGTTATGTTGAGAAACGTTACATCGCCCGCTTAAATGTTTCTTTCTTGATTATTTACTCTGCAAAACATAATTAGGATAAGTGAATTGAAAAAATGCGTCACTTTCATTGCAAATTGGTGGATGCTCTATATTTAAAAATATTTGAATGCATCAAACTTCTCTTCTAGCTAAATATATTGTTGAATAACCCAAAATCGTTCGGCATTTATGTCTCTTCATCAATTCATGTCCCATCGCTTTGCTCACTACTCAATAATGTGGAAACACTAAGAAATTCAAGGGGGCAATGGCGTTTGACAATGAAAGAGTTGTAAGAAAATAACTTGCCTGTCACCGCCATTATCGTATCCCCTGTTGTCGTACCCTACACCCCGATCATAGTATGGGTCGTAGCGGTCATATCTGTCGTATCGGTCTCTGCCTCCATATCCTCCATACTTTCCCCTGCCTCTATAATCCCTGCTGTCGTAATCGTCATAATATCTGTCGTAGTAACGATCCCTGTCGTACCGATCGTATCTGTCGTTGTATGACCTATCTCTGTCATCGTACCTATGAAAGACAACAACAACAAGACTTCCCTGTGTCAAAAATTCATGAACTCAAACTATGACATTGCTTAAAATTAGAAAATAGAGGCCGGTGTAGGAAGGAGGTGGTCCGTAAAAAAAAATAATCAAAATCGTGGTGAATCTTAAATATTTTAAACATCAAATTCAAATTAAATAAGAATTCTAAGAGAATGCAAAAATATTGTACCCACAGCGGTTCAGTTTTAAAAAATAGTTGAAATAGTATGAAAGCACCATCTAGGTTGGCACAATTTGCATACTAATAAAAAATTTGGATTTTTCAAATCTGAGTATATTAGTGTTGAATTCATTATTTACCCAGTATTGTAATTATTGGAATTTTTTGAAAATTAAGTTTATTTCTTTTATGCCTCTCTTATTCACTTTTTGATAACTCACATTTTGCAGTTATAGTAACAAAACTGATAAAATACTTTATAGAGAAAAATATACTTTTACAGAAAAAGTTTTTATAATTATGAAAAGATGTTGTCAGTAGAACCCTTTTTTTATTTATCCATAATAATTAATGATGATGTATTGTGTTGGCGTAGTTATGAGGTTTGAAATTTATTTCAAATATTCTAACGGTAAATCTTGAAAAGCCCATGAAGTTTAGATGAAATTATGTCATTGTATAACCTTATGTAAACAACTTCACATAAACTACAAATAAATGAATTTTCAGTATTTTCTCTTGACGCAACTTAAAATAATTTTTTCTCAAGAATTTCGTTTTATATTGTTCTACAACTATCGTTTTCTTCTTTGCTGCATTCTTGTGAGATGTTTTTAACACATTTTATGAGAAACATTTTTGTTGCGAAGTTGCAAGTTATGCGACGACATAACTTTTGTTCGATATAATAATCAATTAAAATATAATTAAATAAAAATGAAAGAATTAAAATATAACAATAATAAATAAAAAGAACAGGATTTGTTAGATAAGTTTCGCTACCAATGTCAGTCGTTGACAGCCTCTTGATCCCAGTATGTAATGTTCTCACAAAAAAATCAGTTCTCAACGTATGCTCGTGATTAGAGAAGTTTCACTGTTAATTTGTACAGGGTGAGTCAACGATGATACATACAAGAGTTATAAATATTGTTAGGATGTACACTTTAAAATTATTTTAAGCTAAACAGGTGGCGTGACGAATAAAATATACATTTTTTAAGTGGAATACCCTACTTTAAAATCTTGAAATTTCGAATTCGTTCTGAAATTCTTCAACTTTTTTTCCAATAATTCAATTTTTCTAAAAAATACTAGTTTTCACTCTTTTTTTTTAATATAAACTCCTATACAAAAATAACGCAACACATAAATTGGCCACAATTTTTTACAATTTTTTATGAATTTATGATCCTATTTGTATGATTTTTTTTGTATTGTAGGTAGGATCCTTGGCAATGTCACAATTTTCGCTGATAACGATAAAAATTTATTTTCGATATATATATATATATATATATATATATATATATATATATATATATATATATATATATATATATATATATATATATATATATATATATATATATATATATATATATATATATATATATATATATATATATATATATATATATATATTCTCACGTATTGATTCACGGATGGAAAAATGTGATGACACTATATTCCGGGATATCATCCGTTCGCTCGTTGAACTCCGACTGGAATCCTGCATCCGACTGGAATCCTGCAAATCTTGCATCCGACTGGAATCCTGCAGACGTTTCGCCAAAATCTCACTTGGCATCTTCAATGCTCGCGCTCCGAAAACACTTCGAACACTGGGAGGTTATCGGCGGTGCGTGCGGTATTTATACTCTGCGCCGGAGATGGTAACGGTGCTGCTTGTGCGTGGGGGGAGGTGGCTCCGCCCCCTGAATTGTCGCGTTGTTAATTTCGCCCGATCGTAGTTGCGATGTCCCCGTTGGCTGCTGCGCATCGCTCTGCTGTTTGATTATCGTTCTCCACGTGTTGGATAAATGCAGAGCGTCGTCTCTCGTATTGAGGTGTCCGGACTTTTCTATTTCGATGGCCTCTCGTATAATCCTAGTCCTAAAATCAGGAATATTAGCTATTTGTTTGCAAGTGCCGAAATCAATTTTATGGCCTGTCTGATGTTGGTGCTGAAACAAAGCAGATGTTGTTTGTTTGTTTCTTATGGCTAAACGATGTTCCTCGAGCCTGGCTGAAATTCTTCTGTTGGTCTGTCCCACATACGTCAGGCTGCACGATCCGCATGCTACACTGTATACTCCTTGGTTTTCCAGACAGGCCAGACAGGCCATAAAATTGATTTCGGCACTTGCAAACAAATAGCTAATATTCCTGATTTTAGGACTAGGATTATACGAGAGGCCATCGAAATAGAAAAGTCCGGACACCTCAATACGAGAGACGACGCTCTGCATTTATCCAACACGTGGAGAACGATAATCAAACAGCAGAGCGATGCGCAGCAGCCAACGGGGACATCGCAACTACGATCGGGCGAAATTAACAACGCGACAATTCAGGGGGCGGAGCCACCTCCCCCCACGCACAAGCAGCACCGTTACCATCTCCGGCGCAGAGTATAAATACCGCACGCACCGCCGATAACCTCCCAGTGTTCGAAGTGTTTTCGGAGCGCGAGCATTGAAGATGCCAAGTGAGATTTTGGCGAAACGTCTGCAGGATTCCAGTCGGATGCAAGATTTGCAGGATTCCAGTCGGATGCAGGATTCCAGTCGGAGTTCAACGAGCGAACGGATGATATCCCGGAATATAGTGTCATCATATATATATATATATATATATATATATATATATATATATATATATATATATATATATATATATATATATATATATATATATATATATATATATATATATATATATATATATATATAGGGTGTAATAAAAATGTTTAGTGTTTTTCCAGAAATTGGTATCACCGTGAAGTATACTAGCAACCAAGACATAATAGCAGTTGACCATTAGCTCCATCTCCATACATATTCTTTTTTGGTTGTTTTTGTTTCATCGTTGAATGTTTGCTAGTAATCTTTGGAATATTTCTGACATTTCAAACGATTTCACAACAGATGTTGCGTTTAAAATTTGCAAAGGTCAAATAAAATTCGCCATACTCATAAAAACCGCTCATAAACTGCTTATTAAACGTTTTTTTCGTTTGCCCAGTTGCGTGACGATTATTTTATTCTTGTAAAATGAATCGACTAAGAAATTTATTGCCAAAAGGAGGAGTGAGAGCTGTAACTTTAGTGGATGAGGGCCACTCAATGTGTCACATTGCTAATGTGATAAGAAGACGATTTAACGAGGCTGGATCTTACTATTGAAGGCCAGAAGGACGAAAACTATGTACCGATCCAAAGGATGAGCGTTTTATTAGGTATACTGCTTTAAGAAATAGAAAGATCACTAGTACTAGGTTAAATGGTGAACTTAGAACTGTTCGCCATCATACAATATCGCCTCGAACAATCAATCATTGAAATGCTGATGATTGGAAGACGGTTTTATTTTCTCATGAAACGAGAATTAGTCACATTCTCCTGGTGGGCGTGATGGTGTTTGGCGGAAGGCAGGACAGAGATTTGCCAGTTGCAATCTTCTTCTTGGAGTGCCGTCTTCTTCATTGAAAGTGGGCAACAATGTCGGTGAACCTCTGACTATCCTACGCAGTTCGAAATAGTGAGTGAGCATTCATACGCGTTCAATCTTGGATGTTTTTTAGCCATGAATGGGTTTTGACTGTACATAACACTTCACAAATGGGTGTCTGAGCCTCAGGCTTAAGGTGGAATTACACAAGAGTGACCGCATCAGGCTTGCCTCCTCGATTCTGGTCCTGATTTCTACTTGTCTAGGTTGTTGCTGATCCAGGCTCCGAAATATTTGAATTTTTCTACCACTTCTATTTGTTTCCCATATATTCTTATATTTTTGGGCGGCTCTGAGGATTTTGATATTATTAGTATTTTTATTTTATTGGCGCTTCTTGTAAGACCGTAACGATCTCCGACTGCGGTAAGTTGATTTTGCAAGTGTTGTGTTACTTTTGAAACCAATGAAATAATGAACTGTTTGGTTGACTCACCCCAGAGGCCTAAATGAAATTGAAAATCATAACCCTATACTAAGTCATTTTATGGGGCACTACTTTGAAATCAGTACAGTTTAAAATGTAGGGAATACTATATTGCGTTGTTCACATTATTTGCCACGAAGCATTATAACTTAAGTATTTGTTTTAAAGGTTTAATGTAATGAAATAGTATGTTTTGCTTTTTTTCTCAGCTGGTATTTAAATTTTATCCAAGTGATAACTGTAGCCAACCAACTGATGAAGTTTTATGTGGCTCTTGTTAAATTTTTGTCAACTTATACATAGTGTTTAGAAATTGTGGTTGAATATTCACTACATTTGTTTAATTCAAATGGGACGCCATGTATTTTAGGTCAATTAAAGACGAAAAATTTTATATCGATATTATTATACAGTAGATAGCGAAGAAAATTTATGTATGTTATGTGTTTTGACAACTCTTTGTAATAAAAATGTTAATTTATCCAAAACAAGAAGGGATTGACATCACTTTTGTGATGAGAAAATGCTTTTAAAATTGCTTCTCGGCATCACAAATTTACTTTGAAAGATTTTTTAACACAAACCAATGGAAACCCCACTGAAAGGAAACCTAACCAAAACGGAAGTCACAAAATTGGGCAAGACATTGATACAAGTGAAACGAGCATCTCAAGAAATAGAAAATTATCAAGTTATATTTACTGACGAATGTTGATTTAATAAAAATGGAACTCTTAATCGACATAACTTTCACCATTATTCTGATTCTAATTCATATCAATTTAGAATTATTCATAGTTAACAAACAGAAAAAAAATTCTGTTGATGTGTACTCCGAAATAATGGGTCATTAGTAAATTGGTTCTTGCCTATTCGAAGAAAATAAAAAATTAAATAATATATCGGGCATATAATTTAAAAAGTACACTTTGATTGACATTGACATTAAACATTTTTTAAATGTAGCCTTAATGGGTTCTATACATCATAGAAAAGTGAATAAGGTGAATAACAATATCTAGAAAAGGGTCATAACGCAAGTCCTACCAAAAAATTACCTGTCGTATCTGTCGTAATAACTATTCCTGCTGTAAGGCTTGTAAGGTCTAGCGTAGCCGGTGTCGCAAGTTGTACACCGTTTTTCCACAGGAGTTGTAACCTTCACCCCTCTGTTATCCTCACTATCTACTATCTTGTCTCCACTTCTGTCCGAACTTTGAGAATTTGAGCTGTACCGGTAGTACTTGTTTTCCCTAGGGATTCTTACTAGCGTTTCTTCCGATTTCGACGATATCACCTCTTTCACGGTGGCAGTTCCGACAACTTGAAGCACACCGACGATGATGGATGCCGTATAGAAGAGAGTTGGTTTCTGTAACGTGGTTTAATTATAAAACGCGCCGAAAGATGGACTATTGATTAGGATGGACCAAGAAAATTGACTATTTGGTTTTGTTACAACTCAATATATATCAAAAATAACAATTTTTAAAATGTTAGTGCTCTACAGAAATGATCTCAATATTTTTTATAAAGTAATTTTTTTAAAGCTATTCACGACTGAGCACGAAGAAAAAGTTAAATCCTTGTTTTTTCATTTTTCACCTGTTCATTCCTTCATGATATTTGATTGAATTTCATCCAATGAGTGGAAAAAATTTTGTTAAAAAAAATAGGATTTTATAATGCTTTTTAAAAAAATAACTTTTAGAAAAAATATTAAGAGAACTATTTTCTAGAGAGTTAAATTAAATTTAAAAATAATGGAATATTGAGTTGTATTATAGTTACAAAATTCCGAAATGAAAAAGTAAAATTAAAAAAAAATGCATGTTAAAGGCTTCATTTCAGATAAATATTTTTTTTCTACTCGCGTCTGTAAAATACCTAATTAAACACCCATCTAGCGTGCGGGAAGCGTCACTTTACCATGTCAGTTTCGTTTCCCATGAATCCGAGCCGCTTCGGACATTTCCGGGATTTTACCGCACGGATTTGGGAGCAATCGGATGTTTTCGGAGATATTTCCCACGCTTTGAATTTTGACATATGTCAATTCTGACGGTCATGTCAGTGAATGTATTCGTGTTGTTTAGCGAAAATGTACCCAAAAACTAACGGTCGTAGAAAAAGTATAGTATGCAACAAGTTCGTTAAACTTTTTAACTCACTAGTTTATTAAAAACTGGCTCCGCTGCGCTCCGCTCGTGTCAAATAAACTCGTGAGTCAAATGACGTTTACCGCACTTGTTACATAATATACTAATAACTCAATCGTCTGACGTTGTCTTGACGCAATTATTATATCAGAACGAATGTTAGAGCTTCTTTAAGACTTTCATGGGCGTAAGTGAAAGGATTTGATTTGATTGACAGCATGGTGAAAAAAGCGAATAAGAACTTGAAAATTCCAAGTCGCTGATCATACTCTATAACACACTTTTGCGGTCCTATATTGAGTTTGCCAGTGGGACAGTATGAGTCTAGAGTATAATAACTATCAAAACAAAATTGGAAACATAAAAAAAAATGTTTTTCTCATGAATCGTATGCAGCAAAGCTTGACTTCTATCCTATGCTGAAAAAATAGTGGACTTTTTTTGCACCATATTGTTAATAGGAAAGTAGAAATGGTAAAGACCAGAACGCCAGTTTTGTTCCATGCGCCTAAGAATAATACTTTGCTCAATTCGTTTGGGAATCAAGCCGTAAGAGTTTTTCATTCAAACTAAATTAATTTTTCTTTCTGCTTTCGTTCTTGTTTTTCTTTACGGATTATTAATATTTTTAATTACTCTCTAGAATTAAGATAAATGTAATTATTCTGACTATGCCTTTATATATTGTTTGGGGGCGAAAATCAATAAAGCATGTCATTATAATAATAATAAAATTAAATTGCCTTTGTTATTGTATATTATTATATACAAACATACAGTAGAGAAGAAGCGAAGTCTAGCAAAAGCTACTCCACTTAACCTCTTAAATGTTTAGATTGAAAACTAAATAGGAAGTTGTTATTATATTACTAAATTAAATATAGTATAATAGATAAATGAAATAGTAATATGGAAAAACAGAAAGTTACTAAAAGTTAAAATAAAAAGAATAAAATTGAAAATCAAATTATTAATTATTATCAAGTTTCAACCTGAAATATTTTTTAAAGCATTTTATTGAGTGCGATTTTACTGAATGAATGAAAATTACAACAGCGTTATATAAGAAAATGATCTGCCGAACAAAGACAAACTATATCGTGCCAGTCAGAGTCTGTAGGGGTGCTTTAAAGCCACTGATTGAACATTAACGATCATAGACCCATTGCCTTGTTAATGCGAAGTTTTTTTTTTTGTATTGTAGAAATGTCATTAGTGGCCAACAGATGGTGTGTGTTATATGTTGGAGAGATTGCTCTACTCTTGCGTTTTAAGTCAGTTGTTATCAGTTTTAACTAGCAAGAAAATGAAAATTGAAAGGTGTTTTCTGTCCCTGTCGGCACGAGTTTTAATACCATAATTTCAGAGCATCGCGTCTCCATTTTGGGGGCGAAGCCTAGAAGGATCGGTGGCCCACGGTCGTTGTTGGGGTTATGTTCGTTGGAACCCCCTTTGGTTATCTATTTATATTGCTGAAATAATATTGCTCAATACAAATACGAGATTGCCTAGTATAATTTTTATATGTATTCGCCAATCCTCTATAAACCTATTTATCCTTTTAAAAGAATGGTAGACACTTGCGTTACTGCAAAATATTTGGTATATATTACTTTAGAAATCCTTTAAAAATGCACCTTGAGGAAAATCACAGTTTTCATGATTCCATGTTGTTATATTAAGAACCACGCTCATTAGATGGAGTTATAAATTATGCATTCGTAGGGCCATGGAAAGATATACAGAATGGTATGTGTCTTCATCAAGGGACCATCAAGAGTGTTAGTACCTTGACATTATGGGTTAAAGTTGAAAGAAATCAAGGGAACTGGCATTGGCATTGCATAGGTTTTTAAGCAAATGCACAAATATTTGGTATATTTTTATTATTTATATAAACAAAAAAAACACTAAATCTGGCCTATCTAGGTTAGGGAAAAGGAGAATATCTGATTGGTCCGTAATTATAACGCCAAGAAGAGATAACAATTCGTTAAATGACCTAATTTTTTTTGTATAATGTTTAGCAAAAAATAAAGATAAAAATTATTTGTTTTTTACTCCATAGTCCCTTTGCATCCCTAATAAGCAGTTTTTACTCCATACTTTTCTATACTAATATATGGGTGTCTGAATTTCTTATCCAACAGACTCAACTACATTAAACGTTCGATGACGGCACTTTATTGTCTTACAGCGTCACAGGCTGTTTTCCTAGCCCTAATCGATAATCACTTGTCATAAACTTGTCAAATAGTAACGTGAATAATATCATTAGTAGATAATAACAGGTTTTATATTTAGGGGGGAATTTTATTGTAACATATAATGCGCGAAAGCGGTTGTTTTTCTTTAAGCGGAAATAACGGCATTCCATTAGGGCTACGTCTTTATCGTTAGGGGTTCTCTCCATTATGTTGCTTCAGTGCATTAACAGGATAATACTTATTTACTCTGCCGCGACGGGGAGCGATACGCTTGGCTGAGTACCGCGAAAAGGCGGAGCAAAGATTAAGTTCTATTTGGCTATCATTTTATTAAAAAACAAATCGCCACCATTTAGGGCAACTTTAGATGCTATGTGATTGTCGAGATAAACGTTGCGCGGCGAGTTACAAACTGCAGACGAAGAGGGAAGGAGCACTTGTTTAGACAGATAAAATTTTTCGTTAGCCATTCATTCTGCTTATAAAATACGGTAAGAATTTTTAATTACAATTAGTGAGGTCGACAGGTCTATTATCCGATCGGAGAAATGGTAAGATCCACCAAAAACAACTGTATTTCAAAAATCTGTTACACAAAGTTTCGCGTCCAGAGGCGTTTTTTTTTTTTTTCAAATAAACAGAAATTGTCAAGTCGAGGGTGTCTCAAATATTTTTGAAATTTTACATATGTCAATTAAAATATTGAATTTCGCGTTGCCTTATCATGGTAAATCAAATTTTGAAGTGAATACGAAAAACTAGAATTTTGTAGTTTAATAATTTAATACATTAATATGCAATTGAAAGCCTGCTGACGATAGTGATCAATAATTCCGCCTTCTAAAGATATAATACTAGGGGTACCATTTACAAAAATAAAGTAAATTTACAAAACGTGGCAACATTATAGCATGTTCATCACTGAAAAATATGCCTTCGTAGCATTGGACAACACAAAATTTAGTCCTTCATTTGGTATATACAAACATTGTGAAATATTAAAAATATTTCACAGTTTTCGTTTGTGTCAAAAAATAAAGAAAACAGTTCTGGATAAAAAACATTGTGTCACAGAAAAGAAAAATTGAATACATATTATGTTCTATATATACTATGTTCTTCATATACTCACTACCAAATCCCAAATTTAAAAAAAAAATATCCGCAAGTTGGAACAATATAGCTCAATAGAACAACTTTGTGTTTAAATTATTTTTGTGGACCTTACCATTTCTCATATCCCATAGCGGGCTTGTACTGCTAAAATGAATTATTAAACACGGGGTGTTACATTAAAAATTCAAATTGTAATGACTTTTAGATTGATCTGGAAGTCAGTGATATTATTTTTTGAATGTGGAACTCAGTTCAGTCTAGATACTTTGATTATCGGTTACCACTGCGAATCGAATTTTGTTATGTTACTAAATAATGTAATCCACCACCAAATCAAAAATTTGGAAGATATATCAACTTGAGTTTTAATCGTACAGCAAATTGTCATTATATCTCATGGCATAATTAGAATTACAAAAATGAAAAATATTTCTTAGATATGCAACAATACGAAAAACTTGGGAGTAGATGCCACATTCGAAAAGACATTTAAGAACCATTTTGTTACGTAATTCGGTTTAGATAGTTTAAAACCAAACTTTATATGTAGGTTGATTTTATTAGCAGTTTTTTTAGAAATTAATGTGAAACTTAATATTAATTTTGCATTTTTCGCAATATACAAAATAGAACAATCTACAAGGCGTTAAATTTTAAATTCCAAAGTTGTTATGACTTTAAGATAGAAAGAACACGGGCGTCTATTGCTCTAGTCGTCTAAATATTATTGAGTGTCAAAATACATGGGAGATTTATAATTATGGGTTACTTCTGAAAAATGAAAAACATAAGTTTGTGCTCAACAATGAAGCTCACCACCAAATCCCAAATTTTTAAAAAATATTCGCAAGTTGGAACAATATAACAAGTATTGTTACCAAATTTGATCATTTTTCATTAGAATATAAAAAAAGGATCAACCAAAAATAATTAAATAATTTTGCTTTGGGAAAATAACAGAGAATTTAATTGCTTGCTGAAAACACGACGAACACGACCTCATACTCATTACTGATAAGATAAATGGATAACGCCAAAACATTTGGTTTATTCGCGGGAAATCGACAAATTTAGATAAATATATAAAATAAACGAATTCCAATATTTTTACGAAAAATAGGGGAAATAAATAAATATACAAAATGGCAAATGACAATATGCGGCGTATTGCGTTAAAAATAAAAATGCAAATTGAGAATACAGAATCCACAAATTGAACAATATTGCTAATTCGCGTAAAAAATGCGCGTGTGTAAACTAAAACTTGTTTCCGACCAAAGAGATCACAAGAAGTGCTCACCTTTAGCGCCACCATGATACTCTGAGATCGCGACCAGAAAATTGAATATAAACTCCTAAAACATCGACACCATCAACTCCAATCAGCCATCGAAATGGTACCGAATCGGGGAAAGCCAAAATGCGTACACCTCGCTTCACAAACGCGCGATCACAAGTGGCGAACCGCGCTGATGCGGGTTCAAATCGGACCATGCGAACGCAAAGAGTTCAAAGCGGTGAAATAACAACAAAAAAATATTAAAAACCGCCGGTCATTCTCTTTATTGTCTAAAAATTATAACCGTGTCTCCTATACGGTGGGTCAAATTCACCGGATACCGACCTTGGTGGGGATATACAGAGACCAGGGACGTAACACAAGAACCACGTTTTAATTTTAGCTCGTAGTAAACCGAATTCCTGACTATAAAAATATTTCATGTTGTTAAGAAGCAAATAGTCCATAACCAAATATTTCTGAGGCTGTCGATGAGGTTCTCAATTCGACGTCATATACCTCGATTTTTTAAAAGCCTTTGATCGGTTGGATCAATAAAATTCTAATTCACAAGCTTCGTATTCTTGGAGACTCTGAATCGCTTGTTATTTTGTTCTCTAACCGCAGTCAGAATGGGTGTCTCTATAGTTGCACCTCCGTTGATTCCTTGGGCGCTCCTCAAGGCTCAATACTGGTGCCATTATTAATCAACATTTTTATTAATGACATTGGTGGGGATCTCCAGCATAGTTTGCGACAAATCAATCGTTGGTCTCTAAATATTAACTTGTAGCTTAATACAGCCAAGTGCAATGCACCAAATGACTATAATTCTTTTGAGAAAACTCTGCTGCATTTTAACCATTTTTGTGACGGATTAATATTCTACTCGAAATTATCCTTTGTTCCTTGTCACTAAAGTACTAGCAGATAAAAAAAGTATGTATAAGTTTTTGAAATATGCATAGTATAATATGGTCGGTGTATATCCCCCACAAGGCTTTTACATTGATTTGCTTATGTATCTCTTAGTGATCGCCATGGTTAACATTATTCTTTTCCTCTTCTCCTATTCTCTTTTATTAGAGTTAATTCTAATAGAAGCAGATTTTACGTTCAGTTTTATGATGTAATCGTCCCATCTAATGCTTCTGTAACTCTTATACTAATGTGTACTGCAACCTACCTGTACCTGATTGCATGAAGCCCAAATGCCTGTTAAATACACAAATAAATAAATAAAAATTATTGAAAAATATTTATCGCTTAACTTATAAAAAGTTGAAATGCTTGTGCCACCTGGAAATCATGCTATCGGAATGAGCTAAATCAACCCAGGAAGTAATGATTTGAAAACTATTTCTTCAGATGATATCAATCAATCCAACATCTCTTATTTATTATATTAGGACTCATTTTTTTTTGGTATCAAAGTTTTTGCCTATAAACCGCATAAATTTAAGTGCCCACTGAATATTCAAAACCGCTGTTTATAAAAAAGATATAATAATACATTTCCATAAAGTAAAGAAATTTTAAAATCTTCTCTATAAGGTCAAAGAATGTGATACTTTCGCTATAGAGTACATAACTTCACAATTTTTTATTCCTCTTCTTGGTACTTGGTTTATTGACTTTTTTATTAAGATGGCAACATGTTCGTGTACTTCAAAAATAGAATACTATATATATGTTTCATTCTATGTTATAATATCATCAATAAATATCACACAATACTTCACCAATACTACACAGTAGAAGGAGGCAGTTTCAGGATAGGCCTCAATACAAACCTATAGAAAAAATTACTCGAAACTATGAAAGTCCTCTATTTTCAAAACCTTTGAAATCACATTAGTTTATGGCACAACTGCAAAGATTATGATGATGAGAATTTTGAAATTTTTATATACGTTTAGTTCAAAACCTTAATACTGCAAAACTCTTATAAGCTGACTTAACATCTTCTCTACATTTTTTTTTAATTTCAAGGACCTTAAAAAGGAGGGACGGAGAGCAGGACAAGTTGTCCAATCTTCAACTTAATGTTTTCATCGACAGTGATGCAATCGAATAGATCCACAAGTAAGTTTTATTGTATATTGTAATAATTTTCGGAACAAGATGTGTTGAATTAAAGTAAACATTGTAGGCACATATTAGAGTAACTTACCTCGCTAGCAGCAACTTGGGAGACCTGTCCATTCAATCACAATTAAGAACAATGTTGCAGGACTAACTACCGACGACTAATGAAATAAACAATCCAACTCTAGTATCATTTAATTTGTAGGATTGTAGTAGCGGTTTTTTGGCACGTTTTAGTGAATTCACACGTGCGTTTATTGAACCGGCAATAACCTATTTGTTTAGATCATTGAATGGCCGGTGGTATTGTTTATAATGAGGTCTGGTCACGGAACACCAGACTCGCGATATAATCTCCCTTGGTTCGTACGCCAATGAAGGAACTACAGCCTATTCAAAATTACCCAAGGTGATGGCATTACAAAATTTGAATAGGCGGTCCTTTCAACGTATTTAATAAATCGCTATTATTATACGCCATATCGTTGTTCAAATCGGACATTTTGTCACAACACGCAAGTTGTAACTGTGCAAAAAAATCAGGTCGACATTATTTGAAATCTTTAATCTATTATGGAAAATGTTTTAGGCTTTTTAACACTTTTGATAGTGATGCAACAGGAGCGTAATGTTTCAGCGTATTAAAATAAAAACTAAAAATTTATTGTCTTGACTTTTGGTCACATATTTTTAAATGCGAGACCCTATCATTACCTCTCATCTGACGGGTCACGGACAAAGCAGTAGCCCTTGATTTATATCATAAATAACTATGGGTTCCTGTTATCTATCCAATTCAATATTTTTCAATAATTTTATACAGGGTGTTTGTCATAAGTTTACAATTGCCAGTCAAAGAAATTATTTTTGGTGTATGTTCTATACGTTAATCATTAACTTTTTAAAGTTTCCCATGTTATGTAAAAATCTTTATAAGGTACAATATTAAGAACAATTAAAAAACTCCTACAATACAGTTTTTGTAGAAGCGACAACGTGGAATAATAGAAAGGCAGAATACTTTAATCCCTTTTGGACATCGCTAAATAACCAAACGACGGCTTTCGTAAATAGCAAAAAGAAAATGACTCTCGAATTTCTGAAATCAGTGACCACAGGACGCTTTCTTGATCTTTAGAAACAAATTTCTGCAAAATTTTCTTACATTAACCATAGTTAAACACTATGTTTAAAGGATGCGGAAAATTTAAGTCTTCTTACTCATTGCCCTTTGTTTTACCTCTACCAAAAAAAAAATTTGCGTATTCTAACATGAAATAAATTTTAGGAACTAGGAACTCAAAAACTCGGTGAAAACTGCATCTCATTATCTTTATCCTTACTTAGAATATGAATAAAAGAATCTAAAGCTTAAAAGATCTTCACAAAAATAAAGCGCTTTGATACCAGTTTCAAATATTTATACTTAACCGAGATTAAAATTTCATCTATTTAAATTCCATAGTGGCCATGATATACAGTGAAGATTAAATTTTGCAAAAACACTTTTTGCTAAAATTAGTTCAGTTTACAAAGGTAGATTCACATGTTGCTGATGAATAGAAAGCGGCACATTGCAGAATAATCACAAGAAGCTGCCGAGCCAAAAAATTAAGTAGTATAAATTATGCCGACTAAATTGTGAAACTAACAAAGTGCCTCTTTTAGATTCTTACTTAGTTCACATGCTTTAACTAATAGGACACTGCTATCAACAAATAAAAATAATTTTCTAAGGCAGACCTAGATTTGTTATATGAATACTATAGAATATGGTTATTGGAGTATTAATTAATATTTGCTATTGTTTGTATTATTTTGCTGTTGTCGGTTTATTTTTTAATAATAATAATTTAGTAATCATAGTAATAATAAATAGGTTTATTAAGGAATCAGACACAACATATCTATTAACAATTTACAAGAAACGAAACTAACCAGAGAGCTCAATAGCTACTCTACAAAACTACTAAGTAGAACTCTTAATATTAATAAAAAAATAAAATGAATTGCGCACCATTTTTTCAAATACCTCAGAAGTCGGAAAATTTTCAAGATATGGGTAATAAAAATGAAGAGAGAGGATCGATAAAAGAAGTCAGTAAAATTTTCATACAAACCTTTAAATATTCTTTACTTTTTTAATAACACAGACAATAACAACAAGCAAGATGACGATGGATATCAGTTAGTACAGCCGAAACGGCGAAGAAGCAGAACTTTTATTGAAGGAACAAACACAACAAGCAGAATACGAGGAGTTGAGAAGAAAGCTTGGATAAATGTAACAAGGTTGGCTAAATCCACATCAGCACAGATTGAAGAAAACTTATCTGATATCTGCAGAGTAAATTGTGAAAAACTTAACTTTAACCACAACGAACAGTGGAACGGAAACTTATTTCTTTCCTAACAAAAATGTAAGAAACAGCGCCAGTAAATACGACTCAGGAAATGAAGATTTTTTAGAGCAGACGGTATTGGTATTGGTATTGGTATTAAAGGGGGGCGCCCTCGCGGGCGTCCAAGCACTTAGGCCACCAGATGGGCCCGTTATGCCCCCAGGCCGCTCTAGAGGGCGTCCAGAATGCCGCCCCTCCTGTAGAAGGTCAGCAACTCCTTTAGCCCAATACCGTGCACTGAGTCCGGATCGATCAGGGCCGTTCCGAAGACTCCCAATCTTGCCCATGTCAAGGCAGGGCACTCGGTGAGCAGATGATACGGGGTCTCCTCCCCTTCCATGCACCACCTACACTCCGGGTCGTCTCCAATGCCTAGCAAGCAGAGATGCCTCCTAAGCCTGCAATGTCCTGTGTAGGCCCCTGTTAGTGCTCTACACTCCCTCCTGGTCAGTCTAAGCAGCTCCCTGGTCCGAGGAAGGGCGGGCCCATCCATCATAAGCCTCGCCTGCCTGAGCAGACGGTGAGACACCTAATGAATTCGTAGTTATCAACTTTAATATTGAATGGGGTCTCACAAACAAAAATGAAATCCTCGAATCAATACTAAATAACCACGAAATCAATGTGCAAATCTCAAAGCATCATAAATTCTCAGACATTAATGTTCTTAAACCTTTAGATTATAAGATTTTTAGTTATTTCTCGAGAACTAGTTGCAGGGGAGCGGGAGTCTGTATCTTGGGTAGAGAAAGTTTAAATTTTTCAAACATTCCATTTTATAACTCTAAAGAAAAAACTTTTGCAATGTGTTCAATAAAATTAGAGCTTAGCAAAGGATGTATAACAATTTTCCCTGTATACTGATCTCCAAAGGGAGACTTCCAAGTATTTGTAGACAAACTCTCAATAATGTTACAAGCTGTGTACGAACCAAAAAATAAGCACATTTTGTGCGGCGACATTAACAAACGACGACACTCCAAGACGGATACAAAATCTGTGAAATTTTGCTAACATAGCATGCAGCCTCAAAATCTAACGCCCGAAATCCCAAATACACTCAAACTCAATGTTTCTCTACCCTACTACAACGGTAGAGATAAAAAAAATAGAAATGTATGCCGTAAGAAATCACTGGAATCCATAAAATACCGGGCAAATTGTTAATTTCTATTAAAGATATTATAGCTCCAATTCTATCATATTTAGTCAATTTAAGTTTCCTCCAGGGCGAGTATCCACAGGCCTTAAAAAGCTCAACAATCGTACCTATCTTTAAAAATAGAGGCAACAAAACGAACATACGTAGCTCGTACCGCTACCGAGCGGTAGTTCTCTTCAATATCAAGACGCAAAAATTTTTTAGTCCTGTCATAATGACAGTCTGGTTCCTTGAGAGATATTCTTTTATTTCTAACGCTCAGAACGAATTCAAAGCCAACCGCTCCACAAGTACAGCTCTGGACTATGCTCTGTAGCATATCTACGATAGCCTTAATAATAAAACAACCACACTAGGTTTATTTTTTGATTTGAGCTGCGCATTCTACACTGTCGATTACAGCCTTCTCTTAAAAAAACTGGAAAACATGGGCGTTGAAGGTCCAGCAAACTCATGGATTAAATCTTACCTCTCCAAGAGAGTACAGCATGTTCAAAATCAAAAATATGTAGGCAGACGTACCCCTCAAGGATACTGCCTATCACCGCTCCTCTTTAATTGTTTTATCTTTTATCTTCCTCGGGAAATACAGATGCATTATTTATACTGTATGCAGACGACAAAAGCATTTTAGTTACAGGTAAAAGCAGAGCTAATCTAAAAGGAGCCGCAGAACCAACGGTCACGAGGGTAAATGAATAGTAATTTAAGTCAATGGCTATGGAAATAGTCACAAAAAATAACCGCGTTGTTTCCAGTATTCTTCTCCAGTTAGAGGGACTATAGAAAACGTGGAATTATCACAGCAACAACATGTTGTCCAAATTAAGCTCCTGCTCACACTTATTCCAAAATATTAGAGATACGGCATCCATTGATGTTTTAAAGCTGGTGTACTATGGGCTGTTCCAATCAGTGATAGGTTACGGTATAATGTATTGGGGTCTAGCCACTAGTGCACACCGGGTCTTCTTAGCACAAAAACGTGCTATTCGTTACATGACTCTGAAGTTTCAGTCAGGCCCTGAAGAAGCCAACAGGATGATTGGGGAAACGTCATCAATTTCGACTCAGCAAAATCCGACGCAGGAGAAATCCAGAAGTTTTGTATAAAGTATATAACACAGATCTAAATTTCTATAAATGCGTCGAAGAAACTGATAATTATCTGTTTTTAAGAAAATAATTAACTAATAGTAGATGATTTTTTTATGTATTTTATAAATGTATTGGTTGAAACATTGTATTTTAAAGTAATGTGAAGTGCTTAATATACCCATTATGTTTTATATGTAGTATCGAAAAGCGAAATAAATATATCTATATCACATCTATCTATGTACCTAATGCATAAAAAAACGAAGAGCACTCACAAAATTTTGCAATAAATCAATGCTTCACATTTGCAGAGTGATACTGCTAACAGCTTCTGTAACATCTTCACTAAATTATCCCAAGTTTCCATATAGGACCTACTATATACTTGATTTGAGGTGACCTCATACAAATAAATCGAGGGTTGTTATCGTTAGGTTGGCTATCCAAATTGTGCAATCAAAAAGTTCGCAATAATCTGTGCATTTTGTGACGGTTTCTTGGATAAGCATTTGTCGCAGAGCCTCTAGTTCATAAGATCTTCCGTTGCCTTGCTTTTTAACAAGGTCATCATAGAAAAAGTACTAAGTAAATACCAAATCAAACGTTAAATCCCCACCCTACTTGATGCCTAACTCATTAGTGGATTTACGTCAGCCAGGAAGAAAGTGTTCTTAAGAAAGAGTCCACAAATCGCCACTCATCCGAACAAAGGACATTTAAGGAAAAGTTTAGTACCTCGTTATTTTCTGAATAAACCACTAATTCAATAACATTCTAAAGTCTTTGGAGAAGCCGTTCACAATAACGCAACGCCTGTTGTCTCTTCAATCTGACGTAAAGATGTAGGAGGTGTCTCGAACACTTTGCAAGACCAAATTTTCTTCATTTTCCCCTGAAGGTTTTTTTCTTTTGACTTTAGCAAATCTCCCGTAGGTGACCAGATTGCCTTTCAGACTCCTAAATATAGCTCTACCCGGTTGACGTCTCTCCAGACATTTACATTTGGTCAGAGTTTTTACGGCAGAGAATAAAACACTCCATCATATCAGAATCATCACTTATTTGAAAAGAAATTCATTCTAAATCTAACACAACTGACACTGACTGTTGACAATAATTACCTAATAGACATATAGAGGCCCCTGCCTATGCTGACAGTGCAGGAAATCATGAAGCAACTATTTACGTTTTTAATCAACTGCAGTGCTAATGACAAATTCTGACGTAGCACCCATAGGACCTTGCGGCCATCGTCGATGTTTGGACGCTGCATTTTTTACAGCAGTATTTTCTCAAAATATCCCAAAATTCCATTAAATTTTCAGGAAAAAAGGAGTTAACGTCTGGAAAAGCAGTGCAGAACTACAGCTCACACGTCGACGTCAGTATGATGCTGTAATTAATTTTTCGTTTTGGTTCTTCAAGTCCTGTAGATAAGATGCAATTTCTACATGTATTTTTTTATGTCAGCTATTTTTTTTTGTAAATTGGCGCAACGCGTTAGTTTTCATAAATTCATTCAAATAACTTTGAACATCTAAGAGAACAAATGTTCAAGAAGAACCTCCTATAGACAGCAATTGACAGTATTTCTTATTCTTGTTTTAGCAGAAACTCAACTTGTAGCTTAATTGCAAATATCTTTCGTAGCTTTTAAGTGTACCTAGAAGATTTGGGGAATTCTGTTTTGTAAATGTATATGTAAGTGTCTATTTTTCAGTTTGTTAAATGTCAAAAATATAGACGTCACTTTTTCTCTAAGATCCTCTTAGGTCATCATATTTGCCATATTTTGATTGATGTTGCGTTCTTATAAAATTAAATTAAAAAAATTAAGGCAATGTAAGAACCATATAGCTATAAAATAGTGACCCTAGTACGCTAAAAAATGATGCGATGCAGGTGGCTGTGATATTTTTGTAGAGAATCTTTTGCCCATGCGTCACCCTCAACTAACTGAGTTGCCACATCGCCGTAATTTTTCTGAAAAAATTGACTAATCTTGATAAGAACGAAAGTCGTTTACATTTTTGGTATTTATTATTCTCTCCGTACCCTTTTCGTGTCAAAATTCTAAGCAAAATAATTTGCCTATATATGGGTAAGTGTTGTCTTATGTACAAGTTCATTTAAATGATTTAAAAGTGGTCTCTATAGAACTCACGAATAGAATTCACGAATTTACAACAAGTGCGGCAAATATGAGGACCTGGTAGGACCTTAGAGACACCCGAGTGATTTAACAAACTGCGAGGTACATTTAAATAGCTACATAGGAAAGATGTTTGGGTACTGGAAATATAAGAAAACAATTAAACTGCAAGTTTTACTAGAACAACCACAAGAAATACACCATTAGCAATAACAAATCCTTGTACACCTCAATGTGGGAAAGTTTTCGTTTGTTTTCACGCTTAGTGAAAACGAAATTGCCTTTCGAGTGGTCAAAAATTACAGAAATTATTACCATTGAAAGTGGGGAATTACAACAATCAGTTCAGCTGCACAAGAATTTAAACGATAAATCTGCAAGATATTACCAGAAATTCTAGTGAACAATTCCAAATTTTGGGGTGCTTCATTGGTAGGTTACCTATCCCCTTAGGAAGGTAAGTGAACACTACAGTAAGTACACTCATAACATTGACACTGATTAATTAGAAACAGTTCTATCAATAAATACTGATTTTGTAAATCTGCTTGTTGGATTCGGGACAACTTGAGTAGGAAAAATATTACATGCACAACTTGGGACAATTTCATCTTGATTAGGCTCCGCCTATTTTCCCAACGCTTGCTTGAATCGACAGTAAGCTATGTCCTCGACTCGTAAGTGTTACCTAATTGTCTTGTGTGAATAGCTATTTAGTAAAAGTTTTTGGACAAGTTATGGGACTGATCCATGTTCTCTATCCCATTTTTTTGTAGACTTGCATATATGTCTGTTTCCTAGTTCTGATATAATAATTACTTATCCAGACAGTGTCATTCAATTTACATTTTATTTTTTAGTTTACTAAAAGATGAAATTGTAAGGAAACAATGGATAACATTCCATGTCAAAATTGGAGCTGCCAGGGAGGCTGATAGGGAGAGCATCCATATGGATCACATCACTCCGTCAAGCTATAGAAGAGGCGTTAAACTCTTAATAAAGTAGGCAGTGCAGAGTCTTTTACGTAGGTATTGTGATCAGTTGTAAATCGGGTTACTTGCTTTCTGGTCATTCTATTGGCCGATGGTAATTAACAGCCCTTAT